CCTGCCTCTCTCCCTCCATTCAGCCAATCCACTTGTGATCAGATGAACCTTATTGAAGCACACTCCATTAAGTCCCTTACTATTCAAACACTATGGTGCCCAGTTAGGTACAAAGTTCTCGGTTGGCATTCAGGGAGGGTCTTGCTGATCTAATCTCAAACTGCCTCTGCAGCCTTCTTCCTCCAGCTCACCCTTCACACGAGAATATCCCAACTGGAAAAATGTCTTTTTTTCAACAGCTCTTTCCTTCTCCACCTACCAATGCACCATCATTTCTTCAAGTCCCATAATATATGCTTCTTCTTACACATCTTTCCTGACTGCCTTCCTAAGCACTATGACCATTGGATCTGTCTCTTCCTTTGAGTTCCATAGTCCTTTTTATTCCTCTCAAGACATTGATCTTAGGCATCCTGATAGCGTAATTACTTTTAATTGAAGTCTAACTTATATATAATCAAGTGTAGTAATCTTAGGTGAATTTTAAATGAATCTTTACATACACACACCCAAACAAATACACACACGTAAACTTTAAGATCAAGATATAGCACATTTCTAGCACTCCAAAGGAATCCTTTGTGCCCCATTCCCCAGTACCTCCTATCCTAACTTTTATCATCCTAGAATAATTTTGTTTGTTGTTAAACCTTATTTAACTGAACCATACATCATAAACTCTTTTGTGTCCAACTTATTCAATATTGTACCTGTGAGGTTTATCTACATCTGTGAATGTTTCAGTAGTCTATTCTTTTTCCTTGCTTTGTAGTATTCCATTGTGTGATGGTATCAATTTTATTTACCTGTTCTCTTGTGGATGGACATTTGGGTTGTTCCCATTTGGGACAAAATCAGCTGCTGTGAACATTCATGTATATAACATTTACATAACATAGCATTTATTTCTCAAGGGCATACACCCAAGAGTAGATTTGCAGAGTTGTAGGATATACATTCCTTGGACTTGGGCTGCCTCCTTTCGACTGCAAGGAGTTCTAACCTGTCAATCCTAAAGGAAATCAGTCCTAAATACTCATTGGAAGGACTGATGCTGAAGCTGAAACTCCAATACTTTGGCCACCTGATGGGAAGAACTGACTCATTGGAAAAGACCCTGATGCTGAGAAAGATTGAAGGCAGGAAGAGAAGGGGATGACAGGGGACAAGATGGTTGGATGGCATCACCAACTCGATGGACATGAATTTGAGTAAGCTCTGGGAGTTGGTGATGGGCAAGGAAGCCTGGTGTGCTGCAGTCCATCAGGTTGCAAAAAGTCTGACACTACTGAGTGACTGAACTGACTGAGGATATACATAGTTCAGCAGGTACTGTCAAACATTAGTCCAAAGTGATTTTACCAACTTACACTCCCAACAATGTGTGTGAGTTCTAGTTGCTCTAGGATTGTCAACATTTTTAATTATAGCTATTCAGGTAGGTATTATACTTATTTTTTTATATTTCAAATAATAGTAATCATATTTACCATCTATTGATTAGATAGAACAACTAGAAACAACTCTAGAAAGCTGGTATTATTATCACCATTTTACAGATGAGGCTCTGTGTGGCTTAGGAGTTGAACAAATGACAGGGATGATCCATAGTAGAAACAGAATACAAATGCAGAACTACATGACACTAAAGTCCCTGCGGTCCAGATACATCATGTTGCTTCTCTTCTGCCATATAATAGAGAGCAAGACTCTTGTCTTATTCCTCTTGAGATATGCTCTGTATTGCCCAAGTAAGAGCTTAATAAGGGATTGTTAAATTAAAGGAACTGATGTGCAGGAAGAGACTGGAGCTCTTGCATCAGGGAAGACCAATCTAGGTGTTCTAAATTCCAGTGACTGACCAAATTCTGTTGGAATCTGACAAGCTGCCCTTGGAATCAGGAAACCTAGTTCCCTGATAAAAGAGAGAGACAGAGAAAGAAGGAGAGAAGAGGGGAGGGAGAGAGGAAGGAAGAGAGAGAGGGAAAAAAGGAAGGAAGGAAAGAAGCAAAGGAAAGAGGATTGCCAGTCCAGGTTGGATGCATGAGACAAGTGCTCAGACCTGGTGCACTGGGATGACCCAGAGGGATGGGATGAGGAGGGAGGGGGGAGGGGGGATCAGGATGGGGAACACATGTAAATCCATGGCTGATTCATGTCAATGTATGGCAAAAACCACTACAATATTGTAAAGTAATTAGCCTCCAACTAATAAAAATAAATGGAAAAAAAATAAACATAAAAAAAAAGGAAAGAGGGAAGAAGGAAGGAAATATCACTATCTTTAATCAACTTGGGCCACAGTTTTCTCATCTATAAAGTGGAGATAATAATACTACTCCGGCTAGTGAGAGAACAAGAGGTAGGGTTTTGTATTTGTAAACTGCAATGTTAAAAATTGATAGAATTTTTAAATCCTAGCCATCATCTCTGGGGCTTTATAAAATACATGGATTCTTAGGATTCAACCGTGGAGATACAAATTGGCTTGATTCAGGGTGGAGGCTGGGCATATACATTTTTTTAAGAGCTTCTCTGGGTGACTCCAGGGCTTGGCTAAGGATAAAAATTGCTAGGGTAAAAATATGCATTATTATTATTATCATTATTCTCTTTTGGGGGGTGGAAATGGGGAGACTCCTTTCAGAAGAGTCTTCTGTAAAGCACAGTGATCCATTTTAAGTCCTTAGATGAGGAACACTGTCAGTGTCTTTATACCCTGGCCATCTCTAGCCTGGAGTCTTAAAGGCAGGTTTGTGAGGGTGTATATTAGGGTGTGCATGTGTTTTCAAGACTATATGCCTGGAAAGGGCAGTAAGGAGAAAACCAATCATGCAGGGTTTCTATATTGAGAGGAGGACACTAGGGACAGGAAGAAGAATCAGTCAAGTTCAGGGGGGCTCAGGCCCATGGACTTTTATCCCTAAGAAACAAGCAAAAATGACACCAGACTTGGCTCGTGGAGGAGTATGGCTGTTCCTGTCTTCCTGATTTGGCCACAGCTGGGGTCTGAGTGTTACCCGGTTTGGCCACAGTGCCAGCCCTGCCTGCCCCTGACCGCTGAGCTGGGGAGGCCTGGAATCTAGCCTGGAATCCAGCAGCCATCCTTCTTCCTGTTAGTCCTCTGCAGATCCTGTGCACCCAGGATATTGTCCATCCTTGAGCAGTAAGAGAGGGTCAGAGCAGGGCAAAAACCACCTCTCCTACTCTGCTCCTGCCAAGCTGTCCAAGGCAAGCAGTTCACATTTTGGGTTTCTTCCACTATTTATACTCAGGAGAGGGACCCTGGGGACCCCATGGGCCCAAGCTACTGCCCCTGCTCATCCTGGGGTGGGAGGGAGGGGAGGTCCTGCTTAGGTTCAGAGAAGGATGTGGGAGAGAAAAGAGGAAATAAAACAGAGGGCAGGATTAATGAAGTGGCTTCAAGAGCTAATAGTGCATTTACCAACATCTCCTCCTCTGACTCCCATCCAGGAGGAAACTGGCCACAGCCCTGAGGCAGGCTGTCCAGCTCTCAGTCCACCTCTTAGGGATCCCAAGGCTGGAAAGAGGCAGACAGCCTTTCAGATGACAGAGACAACCTCTCTTCTCTTACACCCCAATCTCTGGAAATGAGATTGGTGTCTCAGCCCCTCTTGTGCAGTGCAGGTCCTTTCCCAGAACTACCAGCTTCCAAGTAGCCAGTGGGAGGTACATTATTTGGCAGTGTTTGGGGGATCCTGCCCCCCACTCCAGCATCCAACCACAGGGATACAGCCCTGGCCACCTTCAATAGTCTCTTTCAGCCTGTACCCATCCCATGCCCTCCTCTCTCCCAGGCCTCCTCCCCAGAAGCTGACCTGGAGCTGGATTCCCAAATAAACAGTAACTAATTGGATTAGGAGCTGATAATATTGTTGACCTTTCTTAATGTCTGCTGGCAGTCTTTCCACCACACTGAGACTTAATTGTATGGGGTGGGGGGAGGGTGGGGGACTTCCAGGAGTGAAATGTGACCCCTGTTAACCTCAGATAAAATGGGCTCAGCGTCTTCCCAACTGCCTGTCATCCCCCATGGAGCAGGAACACACACATGCTCCCACTCTCACCAAATAATTACACAGATGATACACACATGCATAGGCATGCATGCAGAGATGCAAACACACCCAGAGGCACACAGGCATCTCACCCAAATCCACACTTGACTTTAAACATGGATCCTACATGTACACAAGCCATACAAACATGTGTGCATTCAACATCACATATATGATAGACAAATATATGCACATACACATACACAGTCTCAAATACAAGCACAGAGATACATCTAGGCAAGTATAATTACATACTTGATGCATAATAGGCTAATAGACATACTCATGAATACACACAGATGCACACACATACACTGACATGTGCACATATACTCAGACATGATGCTGAATAAAATGAGCATGCACAATACATGACACGTGTCCACATGCGTGCATAATGTGCACATACCTTTGCCCCTGGACAAGACAGCCCCTGCCGGCACTCCACATAGATAGTCTGGCCCACCCCACACCCCATCTCTTTCACAATCTCTGTCACTTCCACTTTCTACTTGTTCCTGGGCTTCCTGGTTGTGTTTCTGGGACCCTGTTTTTAATGGGTCTCTTGGAGCCCGGCCCCGTCTCTCTGAGTGTCTCCATCGCCCAGAACCCCTGGGGCCCTGCCGCTGACTGGATCTCTCTCTGCTCCTGAGATGCCGAAGTTGAAAAGGGCCTGGCTGGCAGAGTGGTGGGGAGAACATGTAAAGAGAAGAGATTAGAAGAGCAGGGTATGGGCAAGGAGGCCAGAGAGGGTGGAGAAGAGGGTCAGGGGGAGAGGACCCGAAAAGAGGGGAGCGGCGAGGGAAGGGGAGCGCGGGGCGGGGGAGGGGCGCCTGCCTGCTCACAGCAGATGTTGCCGCTCCTCGGATGGAGCTGTTAATGTAAGTGGAGTTTGTGCAATGGTAATTAGGAGGGCCCTCATTACCCTGGCGGAGCCGGCTGAGAGCCGATAAAGCCGAGGGGGAGAGGGGCCGACATCAGGGTAATGGGGGAGCGGGGCCGTTGAGGAGCTGGAGCCGAGCCGGGACCGCTCCACGCGCAGCTGGAGCCCGGCGAGAGGGCCGGGGAGGGGGGCGCAGACCGGGCCTGGAGCCCCCGGGCGGAGCAGGGGTGCGAGCGGGCGAGTGTTGCGCGCGGCTGCCTCTGCGCTGGCCTTGGTGCGGCCGCGCGGGAGAGGGTGTCCTGGAGCGCGAGCTGGAGGACTGGGGCTGCCTGTCTGCAAGGGGCAGGCGGCGAGGAGGGTACCAGGCCGGAGTGTCCGCCTCAAGTGCAGCCCTGGGACGGGGGTTGGGGGGTGGGGGACATCCCCAGAGGCCTGTGCACCTATATTCTGAGACCCCTGGTGGCCGGACAGCGGTGGGGCCAGAGGGTGGGGACATGAAAGGACACCCTTCTCCTCTAGTGCCTGGGGATCTAGGACTCATCCAAAGTGACCAAGACATGGTCTCTGGAAGAGAACAGCCTGGACGAGAATTAACATCTAGAAGGAAGGTTCCAGAATGTTAGGTCACAGACTGGAGGAGACCAGCCAGCATTCAGCCAGGATTCAGAGTTAGGGAGGAGTATAAACCCTAACTCTTGCCTCTTGGGAGTAGGGGGAGGTCAGTGCCCCCACCCCCCACCTGATCCTCTCACAGGTCCTCTTTCCCTCCTTCCTTCTCTCCTACCCTTCCTGGCAACCTTCCCTCCCCTGCCAACCCTAGGGGAGGGCCCCAAGCAATGAGAATGTTGAAAGCGGAGCCCCAGCATCCCTAACTAAGCACCTTGCTTCCCTTGGGCTTTGCAGGAAGGGGAGCAGAGGCAAGGGAAGCAGTGAAGCACTTGTACCTCTGCTCCCTAGCTGGGAACCTGGGAGCCCTTCCCGGACCTCCAGACTGGGGTCCAGGGTGGTGAGTCCATTTTGCTATTTATCATCCAGGGATTTCCAGGATGAGCCCCCAGTGCTTTTCAGACTAAGCATTGAGCAAGCCCAGTCTTCCTAGCTGACTGAGAGCCATCTTCACAGAACGGGCCATTTTCACAGAACGGGCCAAGTCCCCTTCTCCTCCTGCTCCCCCGGCCCAAGGCCAGACAACCCTGAGAAGACTTGCAGGAGGCAAGGAATCTGCCACCATGGCAGGGAGAGGGGAACTGTGGGGGTGTCTTTGAGACCTCGCTTTCTCCATCAGAGGGTCCATCATCCCCTTTTTAAATCCCTTTTTCACACAGCCCCCACCTGCAGCTGCTTTCAGAAACCCAAGGTCATTGACTCCTGCCACTTCGGTTTACTGACTTCCCAAGGAGTGTATAAAGCACCCTCCCCTCCTTGCCCCCATTATGGAAAGAGAGGAACAGAGAGGGGGATTTTTTTTTTCCTTCAGGCTTTGAGGAAGGGAAAGGAAGGACCTGCCACGACCAACCCCAGAGGGAACCACGTCTCCCAGAGAACCAACAGGGATGTGGTATCTCTGAATAGACCTGGGCTGAGGGGAGACCCCAGACGCCCCTCCCCTCTTCAGCAGCGTGGCAGAGTAGGGGTTAACAGGGAGAGGCTGCAAGATAGGAGCAGGCGGTGGCTCCCGCCCCCCCCCCACCCCCAGAGTTGCTGACTCTTCCTTTTTGTTCGGGCTGACAGCGAGCACCTGGCGTGCTCCTGCAACAATATTGTTTCTGCCTCCCTCCCCACAGGCCCCAGGCTCCCCTCTCTCTCCCCCTCCCCACCCGCAGGCAGCCTTCCCCTCCGTCTCCTTTTCCCCCAGCCCCTCCTGCCAGTGGCCTCCTAGGAGCACCCCCCCCAACACAACCACAAGCACGGACCCTGCGGTGTCAATAAACACAACATATGCTGCCATTAATGTGAAAATCGTGCCCTCTACTCCATTCATCCCCTCAGCCTGCCCGCCCGCTGCGGGCAAGGGTAGGGGGGTTGGGGAAAGAAAGGTCAAGTGGGAAACATTAACTACCCTCTTTTTTTTGAACTGCTTACCCCTCACCCCCACCTCCAGAGAGGGAGAGGAATTGGAAGAGCACGGATGGGAGAGGGATAGGGGTGTTCTGAGACCTGTGTTCTCCCCCAGAGTCTCCCAGATGGAAACAGGTGAGCACCCTCCTCCAGCCCACATGCCTCTTGAGCTTCAGGGGGACAGGAGTAAGGCCGCAGTCAGCCCTCCCACAAACGGCGCCGTTGCTGACAGGCTTCTCCTGGGGGCAGACATGGTCAAGGGGGTCTTGTTCTCTTGCAAGTCCAGCAATCATCTCAGCTCCTGGCAACCTTCTGTCTGTCTACCTGAATTATAAAAGACAAACCAGAAGGGTCCTCCAAGAGGGCTGGGCTTCAGAAAGCCCTTGTGAAAGAAGCCAAATACTTCAGCTGGCTAAGGGAGTGGCCTGGCCTCAGTCTCCTCAACTAAATCACCAGTGCCAAGGCAGCAGGGGATAATAAAGATAAAAATAATACAATAACAACAGCTAACATGTATTGAAGGCTTATTTATGTACCAGACAGTGTGCTAAGCACTTTACAGGCTTTATCTAATTTGTTCCCCAGAAGGCCTCTATAGGGAAGTTACAACTGATATCCCCATTTTACAGCTGAGGAAAACAGGCTTGCTTAGGACAGCTAGCATGTACTGAGTGCTCACTGTCCTCCAGGCCCTGGTTGGAGTTTTCTACATATCATGTCAATGACCCTCTGAGGTTAGCAACACTATTGATGCCATTTCACCAAGGAGGAAACTGAGGCTCAGAGAGGTTCAGTAACTTGCCAAAGTTTCACAGGCAGCAAACAGAACTTGGCCAGGAATTCAGGTCTGTCTGACAGCAAAGCTTATACTCTTGGCCCCTACACTTTGTTGCCTCCTTTTTCTTCTGTATTTTTCTCCATCTCCAGTAGCACCCACAGTACCTACAACTCCCTCCCCAACCCAAGCTCACTCCCAAGATCAGACACATAGTGGGACAATGGCTTCCCAGTGGCGCTAGTGGTAAAGACACAGGTTCCATCCCTGGGTCAGGAAGATCCCCTGGAGGAGGGCACAGCAACCCACTCCAATATTCTTGCCTGGAGAATCCCATGGACAGAGCAGTCTGGCATGCTCTGATCCACAGGGTTGCACAGAGTTGGAGACAACTGAAGTGACTTAGCACTCACACATGCACAGGACAATGGGGAAAGAAAAGCCAGAGTTGAGACTCTCATTCTCTGCCCAGGTCCTCACTCTTTCCACTGTCACTCCCTGGTGTACCCATCCAGCCTGTGTACTCACTGTCCCCTCACCCCCATGGCCAGCCTCATTCTGAGGGGCCGCTGTGTACAGGCAAAGCGCCCCTTTAGGCTCCCAGAGCACAAAGATATTGTGCTTGGCTCTGCAGCTCCTCACTTCTGAGACTCCAGTTGCTTTATTGATACTAACTTAACACATCCCCCACTTCCCCACCCGACCCGGCCCAGTCTGACGGGCTGAAATCTGCTGCCTGGGCACCACCCTGACCTCTCTTTTCCTCTTTCATTATCCGCTCTGGGCACCAGGGAGCCAGCACCAAAATTAAAACAATAACTAAGCCCGAAGTGGACCCAGCAGCCCCCACTCCACCCAAGGGAGGGAAAAAAGCCACAAAAACACCTGGAGAGGAGAATAATCAATGGAAGGGGAGGGGTGACCCACTCCCACACCAGCAGCCCCCCACCCACCTTAACCCTTTATCCCCTGCACTGAACCAGGATTCTCAGACCCCATCCTATAAAGCAGCAGCGGCTCCTGGCAACTGTTCAGCCATTTAGTGCTTTGGGGTTTGAAGAAACAAATCTGGGACAGTGAGGTACCCAGAAGCCCACAGTTAAGAAGGACTAAGACCCCTAAAGGAAGCCAGTGTTACCATAAACAAGAAGTACCTTCTTGGGCAAATTGCTGGAGAATTGGTTGATCACTTACTTAGTGGTGTGTATCAAATGCTTTATAAAGTGCACTGCCTTATTTGATCCTCAGAACAACCTCACCTGTAGGCATTTTTGCTCCTATTTTTCAGATGAAGAAACTGAGACTAAAATGAAATGACTTGCCCAAGTTCATCTCAGCTAGTAAGTGGCAGAATCAAGCTTCAAACTTCTACTCCAGGCTCTGTTTTCATAGCCTACAACTTAACCATCCGGCTGAGCTTTCTGCCTGGACCTTTTCCCAGGGCTACCGGAGTCTGTGTAGACAAGTAGGCTCAGTTCAGGAATCTTCTGGCTTCAATCTCACTGAAAGGAACGGAGATCAGTGAAGGCAGGACCCAGGTCTAGGCCTGCTGAGGCCAGCAGAGGGGGCTGCTGTAGTTGAGGTCAAGTGCGGGAGTGGGAAGCTAGAAGTGCCTATCCCAGAAAAGTAAAAGTGTTCCACAGGGCTCCCCAGGCACCCTGCCCCCTGCAATGTCTATGGGCCAGTTGCCTCAGCGCAGGGTGCCCTTCCCAGGGGAGGGGGAGGGGCAGAGTTAGCCCTGCTGAACTGTCCTAACTGTGGAGCTCTACACAGAGGACCTCCCCTCCTTGTCTTTCTGCCCTACGAGTCTTCTAGAAAGAGTATCTCAGCTACTCCATCCACCCCACAGCAGGATACCCACATCCCCTAGCAGGCCCCACTGCCCCACCCCAACACACTCCAGCCTCTCAGCGTCTTCTTCTTTTTGAAAAATATTTATTTATTTAAAAAATATTTATTTGGCTGCACTGGGTCTTAGTTGCACCAAGTGGGATCTTCAATCTTCATTGCAGCATGTGAACTCAGTTGCTTGGCATATGGGATCTCGTTTCCTCACTAAGGATTGAATTGGACCCCCTGCATTGGGAACTTGGAGTCTCAGCCACTGGATTACCAAGGAAGTCCCTCTCAGAGTCTTCTGATTGTCCACTTACCTTGTTATTTTTCATTTTAATTCTGCTGACATAAGAACAGAACTTTTCCAAAAAGTTCCAAAAACAGAAAACTGAAAGAAAGATGAGAAAAAACTAACTCTTATATCTAGGCACTGTTCTAAGGACTTTGCCTAAAACTTGCACAACAATCTTTAGAGATAGGTACCCCTGTTCTACAGACGGAGGGAAGGAGGGCCTGGGAACTCATAAACTGAAGCTGGAAAATGACATAGCTGGGATTTGAATCTAGGCAATTTGCCCTTTTGTAACACTACTTTTTTCCCCCCAAAAAAGAAATTCTTCAAATTCTTTATTGTGCATTGGACTGCAGAATAAAGGGACGGCATTCTTTCCCATCTTTATATTCTTATAATAGGGTAAAACGTAGGGTACATACGATTGAGCTCATGCTCAATCATGTCCAATTGTTTGCAACTCCATGGACTGTAGCCCGTGAGGCTCCTCTGTCCATGGAATTTTCCAGGCAAGAATACTGGAGTGGGGTGTCATTTCCTATTCCAGGGAATCTTCAAACCTGTATCTGTTATGTCTCCTGGATTGGCAGGCGGATTCTTTACCACTGGGGTCACCCAGGAAGCCCTAAACATACTGGGACCTCCACAAAAGTACACCCAAGGCCATGAGGACTGCTTGTCACACCCCACAGGGAGATGGCCTGATGCTCTCAACCTTGGCTGTCCTGGGTGCTAGATCAGCCACGCTGACTTCCTAGTCAGAGATAAGCTGAGCCAATAGAAGAGCCAGGTCTGACAAGGTCTTCAGGCCTTTCCATAACTCTTCCCATTGCCTCACTGGTCTCCCTCGACTCTCTAGGTACTGAACTAGTCTTGGCTTCTAAGTCCTCACAGTCCCCCAAATTCCTGCCTCTACCTCCCTCCAAAGCCTAGTCACGAGGACCCTTCATGGCGCTGACCTTCAGAAGTTTTGGCTCCCTTTCCCCAGTTCTCTCTGTTCTGCCTTTTGTCCTGGAGCATATTTGTGGTGAGGGTCGGCCCTGCCCTTGGGAAGCTTAGCTCTCTCACATCGCAGCGTGGTTTCAAGCTGTCCTAAGGACAGATGCCCTGGTCCCAGGAGCCCATCCGCTGCACACCTGCCCCCTGCCCACAGCTGACCAAAGACTTTCCTTTGCCACCCCCTCAACACAGCCCTCTATTGCTCTGTTCCTGACGTCAGCGTTTCCTCCAAATCCCCACACTGCCTCCCGTGACCCACTTAGAATCCTAACTCTCCAGACTTAAAATAGAAAACACTCAACACAAGCTTTTACACTTCCCGCTACCAGCTGAATAAAGGCTATGTCCTTAGCAAAAACAATAACTGCCTATTACTAACAATAGATGCCCACCAATTCAGTACCTATGGCCATTCATTTGCTCAGCTCTCCCCAAGGCATTTCCTACCTGTACTCAGACTATATAAGTGCCTGAGTGTCTCTCTGGGTGTGGGACTTGTGTGTGACAGTGTTCTGGGAACGGCTATTGTGTACTATGCTTTCTCTTCTCCTTGGGAAAAACTCTGAAGTGGCTGCTGGCCCTGGGCTCATCTGTAATCTGGGGCATTGATCGGGGTTCATTGATAGCTGATTGTTTTCACACGTGACTCGGTCACATTCCTCTAATCTCCATCCTTCTGCTCAGTTTGCATGACAAGAAGCGGCCTCAGTGGGGAGAGGTCGCTCACCTCTGACCAGGATATAATTGGAAAAAGAAGGTCATTGCTGCCTTTGCTTCTGGGGCAGATCAGCTTCGTTCCATTTGTGTCATGAGCTCTTGCCAGCACACACTCTCAATGACATGGAGACAATGGCTGTGCCCCACAATGGGGCCCACAGAGATGTGCTCAACACAAATCACGAGACCCATGCTTGCTCTCATCAGGACAGGCATGTACGACAACACACACACACAACAGGGGCTCTCAACGCTGAGGATAACATCAATGACACACAGGACAACACGTGACATCTACACATAGAGGACGCACAAAGAGATGCATAAAAACAATGATTACTGATGACACAGGTACCCAGTGACACATACACACAGTGAGACACATATAGACGAGGGCAAAGAGCCCAGGCTGAGCTACCATACCAAACAGGAAAAAAATGTTCAATAGTCATTCCTTTCTTCAGGCAATGCCTGTATGGGAATATATCAGAATTACCTGGATAGCTTTGACAAAGTGCATGTTTCCAGGAACCCCTGCAGGCCCATACACACCCCTTACAATACGAGTGCGTGTGGATCGACACGTTTATGTTGAAAAGCTCCCTCAAGTAATTCTGATATGCCCCCAGGTTTAGAACCATTGAACCAGGCTCCCCTCTACTGGGTGGCAGAATTTGCCAGTAGGGTTGTGGGGCTCTATTTTATTTTTTCAGTTTGGGAAGGGACAGGCAGGAACTGAGAAAAGGATTTGCCTATAGCTGGAAGATTAGGGGCCAAACAGTGGCCAGGAACCGAAAGAGTTAAAACTGGGCATTGATCCCGGCGACCTTGGCTGGCCTCGTTAGCGCCCGCAAAGCACACACAGAAGGACCCTTCGCGCGGGGACTGTCCCAGAGACTCGCCTGCGCTGCGCCGTTGGGTTGCGAAGGCCCAAAAATCCCACATCGCCTCCGAAGCCGTGTCAGCTGCAGCCTTGGGTATCTTTGGGGAACCCTGGTTAGGCCTTGGCCCGGTGATCCAGCCCCCGAGGCACTTCCCCGTGCCATGCTGGGCACTGTAAAAAATCAGAAAGTTTCTTCTGTTCGGGGCCCCGGGAGGGGCCGAGCTGCCCTACTCCCAACCCGGCCTCGCAGGGGGGCCTCCGGGAAAGGACAGAGGGCACCGCGCGGGGACCGTGCGTCGGAGGCGACGGGTCACTAGAGCCCCGGCGAGGTGGCGCGGAGATCTGTGGGGACAGCACAGGGTCGCGCCGCCCCCTGGCGGCTCAGTGGCAGAGTTGAGGCTGGGGGCGGGCGGCAGCGGGGGTCTGGCCGCTCCGGGACAGGTTCCTTCTTCCCAGAGACGAGTGGGGGAAGGATGTTGAAGAGACGCCCCCACGAAGACTGTCCTGTCCCCCCTCACTTCCGCTCTCCCTCTGTCCCTTTCGATTTTCTCTCTTTATCTCTCTTCCTCCTCCCCCATCTCGCCCACTCTTCCTGCCCTTCCCCCTCCCGTCCTCACTCCCTCTCCTACCCACCCCCCTTCCTTTCTCTCGTCCTTCGCCCGCTCCATCCCGCCCCCGCGGGGCAGCGCCTGGGTGCGCCCGCTTGGCAGTTAGCCCATTAGATCTCGTGCTATTGATCCGCTTCTGAGCTGAAGCTGACAGCCCCCCTCTTCCCATTCTCTCCTCGTCCCCATTCCTGCCCGCCCCCACCCCCCATCTCCAGGCGGTCCTGGCCTGTGCCTTCCCCCCCACTCAAACCCCCACGCGGGCTGCGCCGAAGTCTCGCCCTCACGAAGGACAAGAACAAATGTAATTAACGCGACTAGCGAGGTGGGTGAGCCCCTACCCGCAGAGGCTCGAGCCGGGGTCCCAGCGGTCCGCCCCTTGCCCGCCGCCTCCCTCCCGCCCCCACGCTTCCCGCCCCCCGGAGCGGGAGCATTTGGCTTGAGCTGCGCCTGCCCTATAAATCCACATATAATTCTCGCCTTTCCTGTTCAGCTAAGGAAAATAAACGTGTAAGGCTGTTTCTGGGAGCCCAGCTCAGGGACCGCTCTAAATTCTCCTCTTATTGAGTCCAGGCTGGAAATCATTCAGTTCGGCGGCGCGCCCCCACCCTCCCCACCCCCTAGCCCGCCGCAAGCCCGCGCCCGCGCCCGCCGCGCACACGCACGCGCGCACACGGGAGGCAAGAGCCGGGTATATAAATATCTCCAGCTCTCCCCATAGCCGGGCAGATTTATTCCGCTGCCAAGCCTGCAGAAAATTGACTTGTTCATGGAGGCGGCTATTGACACATCACCGGGGGGAGGGTTAGGGGAGAAAGCAGTGGAGCCGGCGCCCCTCCATTATACGTTAATGTAATCAGCAGTGTGCGAAATGACTGCGCGGAAAATAGCATCACTGACATTTATATTAGAGGATATTGATGGCAGGAGCTGTGACCGCATCACTCTGCCTCCCGTTTCAACGGATTGACACAGGAGCCTCTTGTTGGCTCCATCCACGCTCGCCTCCCCTCCCCCCTCCCCCTCCCTCGCCTTCTCTCCCTCTCTCCACCCACTGCCTCTCTCCTCGCCTCTCCCCCACCCTCCCAATTCACTCTTACAGACGCTAATTTTCCAAATAATTCTTGAGCACCTACTGAGTGCCACGTGCAGGGTCTCTCCCGCGCGCCTGTCTATAGGTTTCTCCCTTTCTTTCTTTCCAACTGTGCCCTTGCCCTCTTTCTCCCTTTTCCCCAGCTCTGCCTCCTCCTCCCCCTTCCCTGGCTCGGTGGTTGGACCGCTGCTGTCAGAGCAGATAGATAATTGAAAAATGGGCCTCACCTTTGCAGCCAGCAGGAGTGGTTCAGGCAGTTACGGCCGGGGTTACCTACTCCATCTCAGGCCCAGGCTCCAAAAGAGATTCTGAGGAAATTGGATTTTACATGGATGTTTTATTCGGGCAGAGGCTTTAGTGTATATAAATACAGCCGAGGAGGCCTTGGCGGCAAGGATGAGTGAGGCGAGACAATCCCGCCTGGGGCCTGGAGGCTCAGGGGAGGCAGACAGGCCATGTGCTCAGCTCTGGGTCCCAGACCTGGACATCAGCGCATTTCCTCCTCAGCATCTGAGACTAAAAGAGGTTAATGCCTCTAAACAGCTCCTCAAAACCTGCCTTGGGAATTTTAAAAGTGTGTGATTGTTGACAGAACCATGTACTGAGAAAAGAAGGAAATATACTCAAGAAGTTTGAGGACTGATTCAGTAAATATTTATTGAACCCTTAAATTGCGAGGTATTGTGTTTGGGGCACATGAGTATGTTAGACATGGCTGCTGATTTCAAGCACAGTTTGGAGAGTGACAACCTGGGGTTTCAGGTTAGGGACAAGGAAGGGGAAAGGTGTGGAAGTGGTTACTGAGATCATCTCTCTGATCATCCAATCACCTGAGAAGCCTGGATGAAGAAGCAGAAGGGAAGCAGGTTAAGCTGGGAGATGGAGAGTGCTACCAGCTCTCCAGTCTCTCTGTCCTAGGCTGGTCCACAGAGCTTCTGGGAACATTTTAGACAACTGTAGTCACCAAATCTATAGGCAAGTTCACATCCAAAATGTTCTCAGGGAATCTGATGAAGTCCTTCAGAGGGCTAGGGTGATAGATCATCAAAGACCAAGGTGAGGCCTTCCAGACAGACCAGCTGCAAGGCATGAAGAGGGCCTGAGTGAGAAACCCTTTGTGGGAGACATAAATTGAAGGCACATGAGCCAGTGAGGGGCATCAGACGACAAGGGAGATGAGATGTGGGTGTGGAAAGGAGGGAGTAGATGCTTAGGGGTCTAGAATAAGGAATCCTCCAGGCGTTTGAATGCCCCAGTCCCTATAGGAAGGCCTCTGTTTCAGTCATGGGCAGGGTCTCTTCTGTGCCTGGTCTGATCTCTGATTAGAGTCTATGTGGTTGACAGCTGTAGCCCGAATCATTTTCGTTTCTTGAAAGAAGAGCTCATGAGCCAACCCATGATTGAAGGACTGGTATTAAGGTGAGAATAACCAGGCTGAATGATCACCGAAGGGCCAGGGGATCCGTCTGCACTCAGAGCAGAGACGACAGCTGCCTTATCCCAGCCACATTGCTGAGAACTGGACCAGTCCTCCCCCAGATTCCAAAGCCCCCCTTCTTCTCCGCAGCCACATTGTTCTACTGTTACATCATCAGCCTGCGGGGGCAGGACAGGTGCTGGATAGAACATGGCCATCCCTCCAGCTGCCCCACACACATCCCAGACACTTCCACATGGTATCTGGGAGCTCCAATCTAGCTCTAGGATGGGAGTACTCTGGGGTAACTGCACTTCCTGTCTGACTTCTATTAGCATCTTTCCTCTCTCCTGTGGATTACATTCACTCTGACACCTTGAGTCAGACACCCTTCCCAGCTATCAGGAAGCCAGGCCGCTCCCACTCACCAGCATTACTTGTACCTCCTTCTCACCTCTGCTCTCAGAGAACTGCACGAACTCATGTCTCCACCCCTCAGGTCTAATCTTGGTTTTGTCTTCCCTTCCTTGTGACTCATTTGACAAAAGATTCTGTGTCCTGAGATTCTGGTCTTACTCCTAGTCTAGAAACCCTTGAATAGGTTGGTGATGAGAATGTGAATATATGTGTGTGTGTGCATGTACCTGTGCCCACTTGGGCACTGCATGCCCAGGGCACAGGGGACATCATTCATGGAGCAGGACTTGGTCCCACCCTGCCTTCCAAATTAGGGAACTGACATGCCGAAGGAAAATGAAGGAGCAACCAGGGAAGTAACCCCCCACAGCAGGAAGGATGCCTCTCAGTCCTGCATGCCTTATCCAAATGGGATTCTGGGAGGTCATTCTTCCACAATCATTTGCTCAGTAAGCCATCAGGACCCCGTGACATGGGGGCCAGGGTGGGGGGATGGGGAGGGATGAAGGTACTAGAAACAGCCATGTAAGACTCAGCCATTCATTGTGATTCAGAGCCTGTCCATTCCTTCCCCCTTATGTGAGAAGGCAGGTGGAGACAGGGCTCAAAGAAGAATGGACCTTTGAAAGATAGAAAGCCTGTTTCCAGGGGGAAAAGGAAGCCATTAGGAGCTGGAAGGAGGAGGTCTGGTTGGAGAAGCCAGGCTTCATAAAGGTGTGTTTCCAGCCTTAGCAACAAAGCCAGTGTTAGTTATGCAAATATGATGAGAATCACCTAAACCCTCTGGAGTTCAGATCTCTCATTGGTTAAAAAAAAAGGGGGGGGGGGATGTCCTTTTCAGCTCTGATTTCTGATTCTAAACTGGTGAATGAATATGTTTAGAGAGCCCAACTTGGGATGAAAGAAGGAAGTTCACAGTTAAAGATTGAGACTTACAAAAGGGATAAAGAAAGATAATTGTGGGGCCAGTTTTCTGAAATTGCTCAGAAAACTCTTTGGAGGTTGAGAACCTGTTGGAGCCAGGACAAGTACAGAGCAGGAAAGTGGACCAGGTTTGGGCAGAGGGGAGGCAGGGATAGATCCAGAAAGCAATGCCCCCTAAATTTGTCTCAAGCGGATTCTCTGCTTAGAATTCAGCTGGTACAGCCCAGAGATCCAAGTAACCTGGAAGCTATTAATTCAAACGACAGGAATCTGTACACTCTTATGTTTTGTACTTTGGAGGGTAAGGGGTTAGTTTGTTTCTCTGGAGTTACATAGTCTCTCTGAAACTATGAAGTTTCCTAGTTGAAAAATGTTGTTACAGCATCAGGGTAAAGAACCCGCCGACCAACGCAGGATACACAAGAGACGTGGATTCGATCCCCGAATTGGAAAGATCCCCTGGAGAAGGGAATGGCAACCCCCTCCAGTATTCTTGCCTGGAGAATCCCATGGACAGAGGAGCGTGGCGGGCTACAGCGTATAGGGTCGCAAGGAGTCGGACACGACTGAAGGGACTTAGCATGAAGGACTCTGTGCGACCCCATAGACAGCAGCCCACCAGGCTCCGCCGTCCCTGGGATTCTCCAGGCAAGAACACTGGCGTAGGCTGCCATTTCCTTCTCAAATGCATGAAAGTGAAAATTGAAAGTGAAGTCGCTCAGTCGTGTCCGACTTTTCGCGACCCCATGAGCTGCAGCCTACCAGGCTCCTCTGCCCATGGGATTTTCCAGGCAAGAGTACTGGAGTGGGTTGCCATTGCCTTCTCCGTAGCACACAGGCCCGCACGAGCTATTAGAATAGAGAAGGGATCAGGGCGCCCCTAGTGGCAGAGCCTGGTGATTGCCAGCAGCAGTACCACTTCAAGACGGTGCAGAGGCTGCAGGCAAAGTGATGCAACCGGAGAGAGGTGGTGGGGGGCCCTATAAGTAACGGATACACCACCAGCCCCTCCCATCTTGACTCGGAAGAAACAGGACAGGTGACCTGGGAAGCTTTGTAGCAGAAAGCCGCCTTAGAAGGCAATCCCCAGAGGGAAAAGACTAGAAGCCCAGAGCACAGGAAGCTAGGAGCCAGCAGGCCGGGGAGGAGAGAGAAGAGGGGAGGGAAGATATCCCTTTCCACGGATGTGCCTTGGCCCCAGCCCAGGCAAAGAGGGGCAGATTTCTGTCTAGTCCCAAGCCCCTGCATCTGCCACCTTGTTTACCTCGTGCCTATTTATAGTTGCAGGCTCCAAGCCCGGCATGGGACTCTGCGATTTATGTGACTATAAACCTCCAAAGGGCACTGGACTCTGGCAGGGCATAGATAAAGACAGGGGCAGGCCTCTCAAGGTCAAAATGGCCACCCACCCAACCCTGTTGACCTTATACCCCACTAAAGGGCAAGAGGTCATAAGACTGGGCTCAGGCAAAGAAGGCATGGGTGGAAAGCCACAGTCACCTCTTTGCCTCTTCCTACCCTGAGCTGGTTCAGTTTAGGATTGCAAGCAGGTTAGAGAGGACCCGTTTGGTTTGGTTTTCCCTTTGGGAGGTCATTGGGAAGCTCTGTGTGGGAGGGT